CCCAAACCCAACCCCAAACCCAAACCTGGAGCAGTGAACCTCTACTGCCCCACTTTCTTTGCGGTGGATCGGAAAGACTGAATTAGTTGTTCTAAAACCTTTTTTTTCTAAAATTTTATACATGTAATCAATATAGTATTTCATCGATGATTAGTATCGGGAGGCCCTAATGAAGTCGCCAAAATCTGTTAATTAATTATAAATAATTTGATTCCAAATTATTATAGAATATTATGGATATATATTAAAATTTTCAATTTTACTTTGTAGGAAAAGAATGAAATTCAATTAAATTCTGTGTAGTAGTTTGATTTAATAAAAATATTAAATTTTTAAACATTGGGTAATTGTTTTCTAATTTTGCAGCCGGAGAAGGCAAACTGAAAGTAGCAATTCTCAGAATAATCTTAAGGATTGCTTAAATATTGACACATTTAATTTTTAATGATGATGAACTTTTTAGATTACTTAATCTTAAAGATGTTTCGAGAAAAGAATCAAAAGAAATTATTATCAATGAAATTTATTTTAGTTTTTTTATTCAATGCCTTTGCCACAGAACTAGATAAGATGAAGGAATGTAGGATATCAAATAATATTTCCATTAAATAATGTAAATCTTCATTTAATTAATTTTCAGTCTTAATTATAAAAATTAAATTATGAATGATTATAGATTTATTTTTTAAAAAATAATTTTTCCAAAAATTTTGTTTGTATAGGCAAAAAATCCTTCCAAGAAGCTAGTTAAATTTTTGGTGTTATTGAATTGAACCATTCTTCTTTTAGGTTTTCAAAAATTTCTACTTTCCAAACTTAACCGTATTTATAATTGTATTTGAATATTTTAATTAAATTTATTTAGAACGAAAAATTAAATATTAAAATATTCATCAAAAATCAATTAATTGTATAATAAAGATAGGATCACAATTAAAAATGAATTTATGAAACAGGAAGTTTAGTTATTTTCTCTTCAAAAGATAAAGAAATAGAGTGATCTTGCTAACAAATTTCTTTAAAATTAAGAAGTAGTTCAACTGGCTTAGCTGACAATTCTATCATAATCTGATTGAAAAATCTTCTTTAAAATCCAAAATATTTAACAAAATTGAAGAACCATTAATATGAAATTACATAATTAGCGATAGATTAGATATCAGAATAGGTTTTCTTCAATGGCTCAAATGATCAACAATTAATGATTATACTAATAAAGTTTATGGGCAATTAAAATGATGATAAATTAATATCCTGTTGTCGAAATGGATATATATTATTTATGTAAAAATATTAAGAAGGATTTTTGTTCGTTAAGTAGAATATTGAAAAAACTTTTTAATTTAGATTAGGTTAAATATTAATGATTTTTTTGCTTTTTAATCTTGAATAATAATTCATAATAATTAATTACATGTTTCATAAATTCTTTTCCAATATTATTGGAACTCTAAAACACAATGCTATGTTAAATTCTAATAAATATCAGTAAAAGGAGTAGTATAATGGTGTCATATATTTTTCCCACTGATAGATATCCCATCCTAAAAAATACTAAAGATAAACAGAAAATTTGATAAGTCTGAAAAAAAACCTTATGACTTGAATTAAACTAGAGTATATGTTGGTTTAAGCAATGTTATAAGTAAAATAATATATTAAGGTTAATTATTTGGAACTATGGCGGATTATTATTAATCTTATGGGATGGATTTTCCAATTAGATACAAATTAGGTAATAAAAAGGGTAGAGCTTATATTATTAATCATTTATAATGAATAATATATTTAAATAATTACCCATTCAAAATAAATATATAATTTTAAATAACATATATCAAAAATATTTATATTTCTTTGGAATATTTTAATGATATCTCATTATTGGTTTATGTATTTTCTAATTTGAATATTAAATGAATTAATATCCCATAATACTATATATTCTCCATCCTAACTCATAGAACCAAACAAAAAGTTATCATTAAATTCAATCACTTATTCTAATTTGCAAGTCCAATCTCCTTAACTATCCATTTTCTTAACACCTTCTTTGGAAATTGGAAATTTGAATTTTACTATATTGACTTTATTTCCATTCTTTATTAAAAGGGTGTCTGTGTTAGAAGAATAACATGGCGGGAATAATCCAAAACAAGAATCACCAGGTTCTGCTATTTTTAAATGATCTAATGATTTTGTGAAGTGCTAATGCTAGTTTTAAATGAAAAAGTGAAGTTAAGTTCCCTTATTTTGTAAGACTGTCAAAATATCATTAGTAATAAAGCATATTCGAATAATTTCTTAAGGGAATTTTATTTTTTATTTAACAATCCATTAAGATTATTAATCTGGTTCCATTATTAAAAAGAATTTTTCATCTGAACAGGATACTAATTTGTTTCCTTCATAATTAATTGCCAAATCCTTTATAGGTCTTGAAAAGTCTTTAATTGTTTATTAACAAGCCCATTAATGATCTTTTGACCAAAATTTGATTGTTGTGTCTTGAGAACCTGAAATAATAATATCTTCTCTAATTGGATGAATAAGTAAATTTGTCACTGAATCAACATGTCCTTTCAATCTTTATTAAAGTCCATAACAAATAGAGCCATCTTGCTTTGGTAACTTTGACCATATTATTATTGAATTATCAACCATTGATGAACCAGATATGAATGAATCATTTAATTAAGGGAGGTTAAAGAATTTAAGGGATACCACATCATTTGAATGTTCTTTAAGTTTTTAAATCTCTTTTAGTTATCCTGGTTGTCCATTTATGTAAGGGATTTCAAACACTTTAATCTTACGACCTGCACCTATGATTATAAGAGTTTTTTTCTAATTAATTGCATTGGCATATGAAATATGAGTCATTTTTATAGATACTTCTGGTAGAAGTTCATATATATTTGTATTTTACTTAGGATGTTGCAACATAATATAATTTTTAATAATTGATTTTTATGAATTCAACCAATTTATTCCATAAATATATATAAATTAATTTAAATTATAATGTTTATCTATCTCTTTTTTTTTTCTAAAAATTATTTCAATAAAATACTTATTTAGTTTTTTTAATATCTCATCAGATAATCAGAATTTATACAAATTTCGTGAGTATTCTGAAGATTCAACTAATTAAGCAGAATATTTATAAAGTATTCTTACATTATTTGATAATACTTAGTATTTGTTGTTAGGTTAACTGATTATAATTTTTAATTGATAAATAAACTTGAAATTTTCAATTTTTAGGAGAAAAGCTTTAGATATATTATTAGTTTAATATTTTGATGATTCTCAAATTGAAACAATATATTACATAAATTAAATAAATGATGTAATCTTACAATTGATGTTTAATAAATAGAAGTATACAATATATTAAACAAATTTGTACTAATGTTTTTTTAATTTTGTGTTATTATATTTAAACAAGGATACTAATTCAAATTCTCTATATGGTAATTTTCTAAATTCCTATTTACAGATAAAAGAAGAATTATAATTATTAAGAAAAACTGTATATTTTAGTATTTAATTTTAATATAATCTAGAATTAAAAGGTAACAGCTCTATCCTAAAGGTTGTTAAGCAATTAAAAATGTGCAATATTTATTTCTAAGACTTTAAGGTATACCCATATCTATTTAGTTCACTTCTCTCTTTTTAATAATATTAAATATAAATTCCAACATTTTGTTCCAATACAAGTCAAAATAAAGTTACTTATTTTAGAATAAGTTATAAAGAATAAATTTCTATGGTTTGGTTCTAAAAGAATGAATGATAAAGTATGATAAAAATGTTTATAGACCTATGGAAATTTGCATGATGTTTGGGAATAGTAAATGATATTTAAATGGTGGGTTGTAATTAAAAAAATGATGCTTCTTATAATAGAATTTGGAATAATAACTTTCTTAGTGATCATTAACTACATATCTTATTGAATAAAAATTAACACTTATTGATTATCGACAGAGTGGTTATCGAGATTTTCAGATAGAACACTAATCAAATGAGCTATGGATTATTTACAAAAAATAAGTTTATGAATATTACAATTTTGGATTTCAAGATTCAAATGAAGTGAATTCTGAGAATATCTATTCCATCTTTATCTTAAGGTTCAAAATATTAATTTAATAAATATTTCAACATTCATCTTTGTATTATGATACTTTAAATCAAATACTCACAATTGTAAATCATATCGAAATTAAAAAATATATAAGAATAAAATAAATCCAGACATTAGTAACCACTCTCTTAAATAAATTTGAATTTTTTTATAAATAAAATATCAATGTTCATGGTATTTAAAATCATACCATAGTTTCAAATTTTTAATATTTAAAAAAAATCTAAAAAATGAATAATATCTAATACAAAAGCATTTAAAAAATAAAAAAGATTACCTAAAAGAGTAAATGGACTATTGAAGAAGATAATGTATTAAGTTTATCTATTCAAAAATATGGTACAACTTGGTGTAAAGTGGCATAAAGTTTTCCTAATAGAAATCCTAACTCATGTATTTAAAGATGGAAAAGATTGAAATCCTAAAGTGTAAAGAAATAACTAATTACTAGAAGATAAAAAAATAGAAATGGAATTTAATAGAAGATTAACTTCTTTTAGAATTAGTTACTCTAAATGGGAAAAAATGGAAAAAGATCTCAAAATATTTCACAGGGAAAACTGATAAATAGTGTTTGTAGAGATACAATAATACCCTGAACCCAAATGTTAATAAATAACCATTCACAGTAGAAGAAGATTAAATAATATACTAGAATTATATAATTTTAGGTTCCAAATGGTCAAAAATATCTAGAAAACTTAATAGAAGAACGGTAAACTTTTTTGATATTTAGTTCAGCACAATCAGGTGAAAAATAGATTCTATTCTCATATTATTTCTTCACATTTGAATTTAGAGAACCCATATCATACAAAATTATCATCTTAATAAGCTAAAAAGGCTTTATTTAAAGCCACTTTGGAACATAAATAAAAATTGCTTTTAGAAAATTAAAATTTAATTACTTAACTATTAGATTAAAGTCATTTAAAAAATTATTTTGATGAGGATGAGTCATACCAAGTTGAATTTGAAGAAGCTTATTCTAATTATCAGAGACTTTTATGATGAAATTTAATATTAATATATTGAATAAAATTTATTTATAAAATTAAGATATTTTAGGTTTATAAAAGTACATTCTGTCATTACATTATTTAATTAATAATAAGTCCGTTAATATTTCAATTATTATTTTAATATCATTTCTATTTCTCATTGACCTTATTTACAAAAGTGTAATTCAAATTACAAAAAACAATTAAACCTATTATTATTCACATTACTAAGTAAGAGTAATAAGTAATTGTTTGCGGAATTACTAAGTGTTATTAATTTTAGATATAAGTAGATTAAAATCAAGTGATCCTTTTAATTATTTTTAATATTTAGTATAGATAAGAATGTAATTAATTCGTTATTTACAATATTTTTGAAGTTAAATAAACTAAGTATTATTTTTTAAATAAAATACAATCAATTTAACTCCAAAATATTTAATAAGGAAGAGTTCATAAATGAATAAAAGATTTATTTTTTCCTTGTTTTTAACCAGGACATATGTAGTAATAATTACACACGATTTATAATAAATTATATCAGATTTTATGATAATAGCCATATTTTATTTATTTAACTAATTTATTATGGATTATTAACAAGGCTTTCATAAAATATACTATCTTATGCTGAAAGAATCTTTTAAATCTTTCAGAACTATAGATGTTGTTAACATTTTAACAATTTAAATTATATATTATACTATCAAAATATGATATTGAGTTCATAAATGCTAAAAAATATTCTATTCCTTAATGGAGAAATAATTTAACAACTGAAGAATAAAAATGTAATTCTAATTTCTTTTTTCATATAACTTAATTAAAAATATAATGTTATAAATGATTTATTTATTAAAATGAAACAACATATTAAATTTCCAGAAATTGATAACATTCAATTCATCATTAAAAAATGATGAAAATTAGAAATAAATCTTATTATCTTCAGAAAATCATTAATATAAATTTAAACTTATCAATATAAAAATAAGTATTATACTAATCGAGAAACAAAATCCTATGAATGCTCTATGATTTTGTGGCAGAAATATTAAAATAAATTTATCAAATTATAGATTGATAATAAATAATCAAAGCCTAAATCTAACGAATTCTATCAGATTTTTGATTAATAAGTTGCTATTAATATCTTGTATAATTTCTTAATTTCTCCTAATATCTTTGTACAAAATTTACTTTATATTTGTAACTAAGCTTTTACATATCTCGCCAGATTACTTTTAGTAAGAATCAATTGTTATGAGAATTGATTAAAAATCTAGTTTTTAATTATTAATCAAATCAAAACTTTCATCTATTATACAATTATTTAATTTAATTAACTTTAATTTATATAATAAATTTCAATTATATTTGTCGAATAAATTTTTTAATTATTTCCAAAGAAAACTATCTAGCTTCTTATTATTTTGTTAAATTTTACTGCAATCAAATAAATAAATCTTGAATAATAAAAATGATTTTTAATTTCTATGAAATGTATGAGTAATGATACCATATAGCAGAAATTTCATCAAAGATATTAATATTGGAACCAGGGAATCCTAAAAAACATTTATAAACTTTTAGATTATAGAAGTGGTGATAGGATTGACACTATTATCATTATTTGAACATTTCAAATAATATTGTAAGTTTATATGTTAATATCTTTTGCTAAATAATAAAATCTTGGCAAAATAGATAGATTATATCAACTAGATAATTAGATCAAAATTATAAGAATTTTATAATTTTTTTGAATGTGATTTATGTTAAATTTAGATAGATCAATAGAATGTTATATCAAATACTTGACTTGTATTAATTAGAGCAAAAATATATATTAAATTCAAATCCGAAATTTATCCTATAATGTATTTTAAAGAAGGTTATTTTTAATGAGAGAAAATTTGAATGGAAAATATAATTTTAGAATTAAAGTACTTTAAAAGATGCTATAAATTTTTAGATTATCAAAATTCATTATAACTCACTTGTTAAAGCAATTTTATTTTGTTAAAATATCTTTATATTTATTTGATGAATCTGCATTTAATCAAAAAATTTAGAAATAAAATTTACATGTATTATTCAAATACTGACCAAACTAGAATATATAAAAAGCCAATAATGGAACTGAGAATAAGGATAAGAAATGATTTTGATACTTTCGATGATACTTAAAAATAGTTATGGAATTTTTATATTATTTTATTTAAAAATAGTATTTAGGATGATTAAATAAGAGTAGTTTATTTGGGAGGAAGGTACGCAAGAACTTAAAGGAATATATTGGGATTATCGTTATAACCCACCTTTATAAAGAGTAACAAAATTACAAATAATTTTTACAAAACACAAAGAAATCTAATATTTTAGAGATGGCTCTAGGCTAAGAATGTATAAATTATTTATATTGACCTCATAGAGAATAAATAAAGGATACTTCTAAGAAGCCTGAAATTTTAAACAATATAGAGTAAATCCTATATCTGCAATGGTCAGGAAAATATAAACAAAATATTTAAAAAATTGGAAAGTGGATAGCCAAATGGAATGGTTAAATAATATAGGATGCGGGTGGATATTATTCAGATAAAGGAAATAAAACAGGTTTTTGGAAAGAACTTTATATCAATTATTGGACAGAAGGTACTATTCTTTAAGTAATGGAAAAGCATAAGTTTATGAAGAAGGAGAATATAATGAAGGATTGCGAACAGGTTATTGGAAATAAATCTTTAATGCCTAATTGATGTAAATTATAAAAATAACATCGAAAATAGGGGTCATGGATAATATAATATAAAAGGGTAAAAATGTGGTAAATGGGTCGAGTTGTGGGAAGGCTTTTGGAGGAAATCTTAAGTGAAGTAGGTTGGTGAGTATAAAAATGGTAAAAAAGTCGGTATATGGGATTTTGAGTATAGAGATTCTAAAATGTAAGAATATTATAAAAAGTGAAAATAGTGGTGGGGGATCATATGAAGAGGGAGGTGATGGAGTTAAAATTGGAAGGTGGATTGATTTGGATGATACTTATGATAATTCTACATTAGTAACTCATATTGGAGTATATAAAAATGGTAAAAAAGTAGGATTATGGAAGACTTTTGAGAAATAGTCATTATGGTATTAATTTATTTATTATATATAGTGGTAGCACAAATTTTGATGATAATGGGGTCAAAATTTATCAAAGTTAAGAGTATTTTTATATTATAATTTTTAGTAATATAATCTATATTGGTGAATTTGAAAAAGGTAAAAAAGTTGGTATATGGGATATTTATTGGATTTGGAATGGCAACTAAATAATGTAAAAATTATTATATAAGTGGCTACAGTGGAGGCGGTGCATATGATGATAAAGGTAATGGATTAAAAATTGGCAAGTGGATTGATTTGGATGATGAATTTAATTATTATTATTAAGTTATTCATAAGGGTGAATATAAAAATGGTCATAAAGTTGGTAGATGGGAAATGTAATATAAGGATGATACTCATAGACAATTTTCTACATTGTAACAATATTATATATAGTTTTTAAAGCGGTGGTGGATCATATGATCAAGGAAGTGATGGAATAAAGGTTGGCAAGTGGGTCGAATTGGATTAAAAACTAGATAAATCTTCATAAGTAATTCATTGCGGTGAATATAAAAATGGTAAAAAAGTTGGAAGATGGGAAATTTTATAAAAGGAGGATATCAATTAAGGATATTCTACAATGTAAATAATTTTATGAAAAAGTATCCTATAGTGGTGGTGGATCATATAATGAAGTAGGGGAGGAATTTAAGATTGGCAAGTGGATTGATTTAGATGATAATTTTGAGAATTCTAAATAAGTGACTTATAATGGAGAATATAAAAATAGTAAAAAAGTTGGTAAATGGGATATAAAATACTATAATGAATAAATGTAATATCATAATATAAAAAGTATTTTATAGAGGTGGTGGATAATATGATGATCAAGGTGATGGAGCTAAAATTGGAAAGTGGATTGATTTAGATAGTTAATTTAATGATTCTTACTAAGTTACTCATGATGGGGAATATAAAAATGGTAAGAAAGTTGGTAGATGGGATATTAAGTATAGGGATGAAAAAAGTAAAGTATTTGCAACAATGTATAAAATATTATATACAGTAAATTACAGTGGTGGTGGTTAATATCATGAAGGAAAAGATGGAACTAAGATTGGCAAGTGGATTGATTTAGATGATAAATTTGAGAATTCTAAATAAGTGACTTATAATGGAGAATATAAAAATGGTAAAAAAGTTGGTAAATGGGATATAGAGTATAGGGATAACAGCAGTAAGCAATTCTCTAAAATGTAAAATATTTAAAAATTAAGTTACAGTGGAGGTGGATAATACGATCAAGGAAGTGATGAAATTAAGATTGGCAAGTGGATTGATTTGGATGAAAGATTTTATCTTTACAACTAAGTAACTTATAATGGTGAATATAAAAATGGTAAAAAGGTTGGTAGATGGGATATTGAGTTTAGGGATAACAGCAGTTAACTATTTTATAAAATGTAATGAAAATATATAAATGAGTTATAGTGGTGGAGGATCATATGATGATAGAGGTGATGGAGTTAAGATTGGCAAGTGGATTGAATTAGATGAGGGATTTTATCTTTACAAATAAGTAATTCATAATGGTGATTATAACAATGGTAAAAAGGTTGGTAAATGGATGGAAATGAAACGAGAATGGAAATTAATGAAAGATGGATTCAAAAAAGTAAATGAACAAAACTATGAATATTGAAATTATATAAATATAAATTATAAAATAAAAATAATAGTTTAATAATTGACTAAGTGATTATCAACTTTTTTGATATCCATCTCTATCAAATAGATAGTAATAAATTATAATAATATCTATATGCTCATCTTTGTTGACCTAAGATTTTATTGATGTCAACACTTGTTTGCTGTGAGCAATAATGGCCTAATTTATTTTCCTTCTAAGAAGAATTCTACATAAAGTCCATATACTAACACCTTGGCTCTAATTTGGATTTATTTCCCCTTCTTGCTTCTTCAGGGGAGACAGTTAATTGCAAATATCAATTATGGCCTTTTCTAAATCTAGTGAGTTATTAATTATGTAAATCCACATCTGACTACTTAATTTTCTAGTGAACATCACTATTTCCAAATGGTTTTCAATAGAGAGTAAGATAAATAAATAATATTTGATAGGTTAGCAGTATCCTTAAATGCTAGTATTTTTATCAGCATTTTTTAATGTACAAACTGTTCCACATCTAATGTACTTAGAGGTTTCTAAATTTTATGAATAAAGATATATTGAAAAAGTGTAACATTCTCCTTCTATGCTTATTAGTATTAGTAAGTATATAGAAATATTGATATTGAACAAAAGTAATAATTCTTTTTAATCAATATTATATAAGTATTTGCAACTTTAAAAATAAGCAGTATACAAGGCATAAATGTGATTATCACAAATTTTCATTTTAGTGTCTATGTGAAATCAATGATTTATATATATATGGAAGTATTAACATAAACTCTTGATGAAGAAAAAAAGTCATCCTCTTATCAGATATTCTAAGCAGTTTATTAGATTTTGCTTTTTTATTTACTCTCAAAAATCATTAGATTAGCAATCTCCTGAAGCATATGTTGAAACCCAGAAAAAAACTCTTATTCTATTTAATCACAAATACCAATTGATTTTATATTCCATTATTATCTTGAGTTCTAAATCTAATATAGTAATCGTTCCATATAAAGTTATCAAAGAACTTCTACCTCTTTAATGATTCGAAAGTGAAACAAGAAGGCAGTATTCAAATATTTTTCAATTTAAAAATAAGAGCCATCACTAAGTAACATCAATAACTGCTATTATTATCATAATCAGATAACATTATAAAAAAATTAATCTGAGTAAAAATAAGTTAGAGAAAGTAAAACTATAAAGGAAAATAAATTTAAACATATACCTTTAAAGTGTGTTCAAGATTTAATAATTATTCTTTTTAGAAATAAGATATTAGGATAAAACCCAATAAATTAATTAGGAAAATGAATAATTTTATAAATAGTTTTCAGAAATAGGAAAATTGAATAATTAAAAAGTTATAACAAAGGAATAAAAATAAATCTATTAAAAAACTTTTTTATAATATAAAATGATCAATATTAATTTTCAGATCTAATATTTGAAATCAGATAAAATCTAATTTCAATATTAATCAAAATATTAAATAAACAGAACTGTATAGAGCTATTACTATTCTTTTGACATAAATTTTTAATAATCCTCTGATTAATGACTATTTTATTTATTTATTAGATAAATTAATATTGATTATTTTTTAATTTTTTTAATATTAAAAGGTTTTATTTTCTATTATGAATCAAAAATCAATTATGTTAATAAATATTTTGTAATTTGATTTCATTAAAAATCACATAAACAACAGATTATTTTTGTTTATTAGTTTTCTTTTAGGCTTATAATAAAAATCTATATCAGATATATAATATGATATGTTTATTTCATTTAATTATATAATTTAGCCTTTGCCTTAGTAAAATTAACATAAATATAAGACTTAAAGGAATGCTCTCTTTCTGTGTAAAAAAATATATAATATGTGATTTCATAATATTATGATTATTATATTATATAAACCATCAGTAATAAAATTGATTTTTATATTAACAAAAATCAAATATATTAGTAAAGAAAAAAAATCTTTAGTTTTATGTCTTATAAATTTAGTATTATTATTAATTTAATAAATTTGATTTTAATTTGATGTTTCATTAAAGATAATAAACAAATTAAAAAAAAATATGGTTAAATTATTGTAGATAACTAATTAATGAGTAAGTAAAATACTCTTGTCTTTTACCAAATATAAAATTTAACAAGAATGAATATTATTTTTAATATTAACTTTAAATTTTAGAATAATAGAAATTGAATAAATGCAAATTAGATGTACTTAAACAAGTAATCATTCTCAATAAATTAATGTTGTTTGTATTGAAAAGGATTGCTAGAATTTAAGGTTTTGTTGTCCCTCTTGTATATTTCAACATGCACATCATCTTATAAGTTTAATATCTCTTGAAAGATTGAATGAATGGATTAAGCAGAGAATAGAAACTATTTTTGTTGTTTAAAATAGTATATCAGAATTTAAACTAGAACTTAATGATATACTTAACTTAAATAAAAAATAATTATTAGAAATAGGTGATTCAAGAATAGAGGTACTTATAAAAGGTTTTTGGAAATTTGATGACTTAGTTAGATTGTAATTTAGCTTGTTATAATAGTCAATTTATAACATAAGATAAATAGTGAAAGATGTGACAAAATGTTTCAAAGATGGTATCTTATAATAATAAAGTTTCAATTAATCTAAAGGTTTATTAAATCCATAGATTTAAGATATAAAATTGAAAGATTTTAATTAGCCTATGACTTAGATTGTTCAAAATAGAGATTAATGTCGTGCTATTGCTATGAATAAAGATTGCTCAATTGTATTAGGTGGATATGATTAATATATTAAAGTATTTGAGCATAAAATAGGGAAATTAAAATAAACATAAATCTTAAATGAGCATTCTTCAAATGTCATAACATTAAATTTTATGAAGAAATCAAATCATTTTTTATCTGGAAGTTGTGATAAAATAATTATTATATGGTAGATGAATTAAATAAATTAATGGGTTTATTTATAGAAATTGATAGGACATGATAGTAGTATTTTCTGTTTATTGATAAATACAAATGAAGATCTTATAATTTCAGGTAGTCAAGATAAATCTATTAAATTCTGGTAAAAATAAATTAAATGGTAATATTCATAATCTATAACTGATCATATTGATATTGTACGCTCATTGAGTTTAAATGAAGGATAAGATAAATTGATTTCTTGCTCAGATGATTAATTTATATTAATAATTTAATAATCATTAAAGGATAAAATATGGAGTGTTGTATAAAAAATACAAGTAGATTATAATGGGTTCAGATTATGTTTTATTGATGAAAATTTATTTACATTCTAACCATATTGTAAATAATAAATGTATGTATATGAGATGGATCGAAATACTAAATTATATTGGAAAATTCAGGATATTAAAGTAAATTGTGGTTCAAAAAATTGTTGTTTATTTCCATAATAATATATTAAGTCAAAATGTATTCTTGTTAATAAGAATGGCAAATTTATTAATTTCATGAGGAAAAAAGAGAATGGGGAGTTTTTTAATGAATTTTCTATTTAATTTGAGGTAGATGAGATTTTTGGTTAATTAAGTGATGACGGAAAATATCTGATCACTTGGGATAGTTATTCTAGAGAAATTAAAATTACAAATTATAAAAATTTGTGAATACAATAATTTAATATGAAATGATGAATATAAATATCAATATTAAAATTACAAAAAACAATTTTTACCTTCTAAATCTAATAGAAGAAAGCAAAAAATTGATATGCTTAAAAATTATCTTTTATATTTTTCTCTCATTTGTATTACTAGGGCTTTAAATAAGATTATAGTTCATAAATAATAAATAATCTTCAAATACATCTAAAAACTAAATCAAATTTTACAGCTTATAATGCGCATTTCAAAAGAATACAACTTCAAACCCTCTTCAATCACTTTTTTACTTTTAAATTGCAAAAGTCTGATACTATATTTTCTCATTTATTCTAAAACAGATCTTTCTTAAATTTTATATTTGTTCCATCATTCTAATAATTAAATATCTCAAATCTCCAAAATAAAAAGGAAAAAAACTTTAACTAACAAATTTGTTGCTAAATAATAAACATAGTAATGTTTTTTTTAACATTTAATTTAAAACTAAAAATCTGCATTTTCATTAAAGGAGCATAATTAGAGAAACATTTTTATATATAGATTAATGATACTTATTAATTATTTAATTTCTTATTTCTTTTGAATTAAAGTGATGAAATTTTTAGCAACTCTTATCATAATAACAATTTTTATATTTACTAATATATAAGTTTGTCTGATTTAAAATCTAATTTAAATTATAAATAAAAAATAATAAAGTAAATTAGTCTCTAAAAAAATCAAAAATTCTATAGTTCTTTACAAATAATCAGAGATTAAGCATATTTGATTAAATCTCAATTGCACTGAAATATCATTAGATTCTACATAATCTATTTTTGGAATAGCATTTTCGATAGAAGTTCTTCAATTTTACTTTTTCAAATCAGGGGAATATAAACTTATTGGAAATTTTAACAAAATTGAAAGCATTTTTTGGTGTATTTTCTTCAATAATCAAAACTCTATTCTTCATTGAACAACGAAAAGATATGTTAAATATGGACTGTAAATAGTAAATTATATGCTTTTAAATCAATCAGACGACCTTATATTAATAGCATTCAATGAAAGGAAAATAATATATAAGAAATAGTTGGAAGATGATCATAAATTTGTTGACATTCAGATGATATATTTGGACATATATGAATGATAATGAAGAAATGGATGAAAAAATTAAATATTTGATAGAGGGGAAGGACTTTATGATTAATAAGAATCATAGTATCAATAGACTTGAGAAATAATTTTTTTAAGCAGTATATTTATAGATTTTTATAATTTTGGGATATTTTAGTTACTAACAAAAGTGCCTGCAATTATGATAACAAGGTTTGAAAACAAAAAATCAGAATTAAGAATCAATTAATGTAAATCTCGTAAATGGAAGTTTAAGGATATGAATATATTGTAATTATTTCAATTAGAAGATTAATAAATGAATTAAATTCTCATAGATTAAGTTGTTATCAAATTATTTATATTATAAAAGGCTGATTCATTTTTAGATAAGAGATTAAAAATGAAAATGATTTTTTATACTTTATAATAATTAGTTTAAATAATAGATTTAATAGCGTATAAATATATTTATTAAAAAAAACTAGAAATTTCAGAAATACAAATCTCAAATAATTAAATTTATTTCCATCTCAGATAAGTTTAGAGATTAAATGACTATCTTAATTCCAAAGTGATTACAAATTTAATTAAATTTTTATCATGTACCTACATTATAGGCAAGGTATATAAGACCTATTTTTAATAAAAATTGATGAGTATTTATTTTTAATTCATAACTTTCTTAATATTTTAAGCATTTTTTGGATTGATAAAGGTTGTAGATCAAAAATAATCCATAATAAAATGACTTGAGAAATATAACGAAAAATAAATATCAAGAGCCTAGAATCAATGCAATTTACTATTGTGATTAAAAATCAGAGAATATGATTAAAAGTTATAAAATAATTATCAACAATTTAATGCTATTTATATTAAAACAATATACTATATAAACATTTAATAATTAATATTTTTGTTATGATCAACCTTTTTATTTCGAATTTGCTACTATTGTTGGATATTACCTATCCTTAATTTATAATGCAACTGGATCCTCTTTTTTAAATTGAATAATACTTTATTGAAATCAAAGATGTATACTTAATCGATGAGTTAATTGGATATGGTATATGGTCTAAATACAATCCATTAAGTATAATATCTTAAGTAGGACCTGTTGGATTATTTGATAGCGATTGTTTTCATTATCAAAATATTATTGAATCAAATTCTGAGAGTTTAAACCTAATATATTATGATTGCCTTTACCCCTAAAGTATGACCATTCATAAATTTCTATCCTTTGTTGCTTCTGATGGATTACAATTTAATTATAAACTAAAAATTGACCCATTTAAGTATGAAAATTTTTGGTATTTATTCTAATTACTTTATTGGCCTTTCATCAATAAACTTGAATTAATAATAATAGCATAAGATCAATAATTGCTTCATGAAGTATTGCATATTAATCCATTTAAAGGAAAATATTTATTTGTAAATTTTGGAAGTAGCCTTTTAGTACAAAATTCATATATTGATTCGATAATTGGATCAAGATATTCGTATTTTCCAGGGACAATTCTTTTATATGTTTAAGATTTAAACCTTACTTACACATCATCTCCAGACTTAGATTATATCAATTAAGCAATAAATGATTTTTTAAGTAACTCAGAATGTTATTGCAAATAAAATACTTAATATTAACTATTAGATCAAGATATAACTTGGATGGATACAATAACTTTCACATCTGAAAATATTAATTGCGATTCATTTACATTTTATGGTTGGTATAAAATAAAAGAAATACATTAAAATGATGAATAGTTTACTTATTAATTTTTGAAGATAATGCCAAATTTTGAAAATGAACAATTATCTAATCCTAATTTAACACCATTTTAGTTATCTTATAAGATATCTTCTAATAATTATAAAATTATTATCAGTACATATAGTTATAAATTTCCATCTGTTACTTTAGATTTTACTAATATTGATAATGCTTTTTTTTTGACTCGAGAGTTTGAAATATTACATAAAATTAATTTATGGCATAATTTGTTGGTTAAGTTAGTAGAAGAATAAATTGTTATTTCTATTAAATTTTACAATTCTTATGATATACATGAATACACTGCTTAATTTAATGTAAAATAGTTCCACAATGTATAATTTAAATTGCTATATGGCAATTTATAAAAATCTCCTTTAAATTATCTTGATATTTAAACTAGAAATTAAATTTTTTATAATTGTTAATAATAAATTGAACAGCAAAATTGTCATTATACATGTTAAGATTGTGATGGTCCAACAAAAAGAGATTGTTTATCATGCTCTTAAGAATCATCAAGAATATATTTATCAGAATATAAAGCATGTATTTGTCCATATGATTATTATGATGATTAAATTAATTAGAATTGTAAATCATATAGTGATTTATAATTTATAATAAATTAAATACAAATAGAAAATGGATGTAAATTTGGTTATTTTGAATTTGATGATTCTTGTTATGCATGGTAAATATTTATTATTAATATAAAGTCCTTCTATTATTTCTAATTAATTGACAACATGTTTAGAATGTATATAAAATGTTAAAGGATGGTAATATAATCCATATTGCTAAACTACTGTTTACATAAATCCAAATGGAAATACAGCTAAAACAATATCTGATGATGATTACTTATACTATGTATTTGATGGATTAGAATCTTAAATGTGTAGATATTGTAATTAATAATTCTTATAGAATATTGATAGTATATATCAAGACTTTAATTTATTAATTTAAACATTTAAATCATTTTGTTAACTTAGCAAAGGCTATTTTTATGGAACATTTGACTTTAATATTTGTTATGAATGTAATATTTTAGGATGCATTACTTGTTCTATTGGTATAACAGATTTTCAATGTACTAGTTGTGAAAGGCCTTGGATATTGGTTAATGGAATTTGTACATTTAATTCTTATTCTGACAAAAATAATGAATGCTTAACTCCTTATTATAGAAATTCTATTGGAGAATGTAAATTATGTAATCTTTAAAATTGCAAATATTGTTTTGAATATAATAAAAATGATCTATCAAAATGCACTTTGTATGCAAATTTTGATAAATTTGATTAAGATGAATATTTAGCGATTGGATGTGCACTTTGTGAAGATAATTTTAATTTTGATTTTAATATTGGAGAATGCATATACAAATAACCATCTTTACCTAATTGTATAAGGTCATTTATTAATTTATAAAATTAAGAGATATGCACTTTATCATCCACTGATTTTAGTATAGCACCAGAAATTATTAATTGTGATAAGTTTATCTCAAACTGTTTGTAATGTATTTTCACTCCTCAGTCTTCAATAAAATGCATCATTTGTTAAAGTGGATTTACTAGTTCTATCCGATTGGGAAGTTGTTATCCAAATACTGCTGTTAATGCAAAAATTGTAATTGAAGGAGATTATTATTTATAAGATGCTTGGGTTTAAAGAGGATAAAGTTTTATGATGAAATTTTTACCTAAATAATATTTTTATTAAAGACCGTATAATGACTAGACTGTTATATAATTTTAAGTTGAATGTAAAGAAGGATACAAATAAAATGATTAATAAGATTGTATAAAGTATTGTACTTCTGATTGTTTGAAATGCGATTTATCTATAAATTCTGACATTTTTAATTGTATTTAATGTCCATAAAATTACTACTAATAACCAATTCGTAGTGAAATAGATGGCTAATGTATAGAATGTCCTGAATTATGTGATGTTTGTGAAAGAAGATCCGAAACAGAAATTTATGTAAGATAACTTAATTATTTTTAGAAACTAAATCCAAACTTTAAGATGAATGGAATAAACAGAAAATATACAAATAAATGTATCCGAAAAGTTTCATATCCAAATGTGATTATCGATCCATACTTTTTTATTGCTAAATATTGTTATACTATAAATTGCATTTAAGAATTTAATTTAGAACTATCTAGCTAAGATAATTATATTGATATTGATTCAAAAGTTAATATATAGTATAGTAACTAAATTGGGCTCAATATTTTATCTATTAAAATTGATCAAAAGAAAGATGATGAGTCTTATAAAGATTTTATGTAAACATCTTAATTGAAATCAGAAATTTTTAGTTTAAGATTTCTGAAACTCAGATTGAATCTTTATGAAAATAATTTTAAAACTTTTATTGTATCAGGTTTTGATTTTATAGAAATTAATGATGCACATTTCTAATTTAAAAATTAAGATCATTTTTAATTTGAAAATAAAAATTAATAAGTAAATTTATTATTAAATAACATTGTAATATAATAGAGTTCAATTTCAAATGTTAATCCTATTTTAGATTCAGATATATTTGGAGATATAACTTTGAAAAATATATTAATAATTGATACAAATCTGAAAAATTCTTCATTATTCAATTTTTAGTAAAAATAGTAATAAGGAATAATCAAAATTGAGAAAATGACTTTGAAATAATGCAACTTTACAAATACTTAATTCTTATAAATTTTTAACAATAAAATTAAGATTTAAATTGATTAATTAGTGATTGATTCATGTTAATTTGTAAATTCGTCATTCATTACATTTTTAAATAATTTAATTTATATTGGTGAATTTGAAATCAATACAATAAATTTCACATATAATAAACTTTATTAATCCTATTTTTTGAATAGCACTTATAATTTCCAAATTTGGATAATTAACTTTAATTTTTAATAAAATTTGATTGAAATGTCAACTATTATAAAATTTAATTCAAATACAACTTTGCTAAAGACTGAAATAAATTAAAATACTTTTATTAATTCTTATTTTATGGCTGCTATTTAGATTGATGTTCAAAATAAACTTGTTTGTTTAATTGAAAATTATTTAGTTTATGAAAATGATCTTACAAACTCTAATTTATTAAATATAGAATCAACATTATCAAATAAGAATATATATGTTTAATTAAGATCCTTTACAATTTCATAAAATTAAAGAGGAATTAATTAATAACAATAAATCAACTTATTTAATATTCATTGCTTCCAACTAGATATTGAGAACATTTAGATTATTAATTCAAATAACTTACGTATATTCTATCTTTTTGAAATCTAAAAATTTTATGCATCAAATATAGTTTACGAAAATCTTGAAATCGATTATAAAGTAAGTTTTAGTTTAAATTGTTCAGAATACACTTATATTCAAAATTAACTCTTTTTAATTAATGGATTCAATATTATTATCATTTAAAATATTAAAGTTCATTAATAATCTAGTATTGATAGATCATTAATAGAGATATCATCAAAAGGAAATAGTTTAACTAATTAAAAAAATTTTTTGTAATTGATAGATATGCAGTTTGTAGGAAACTTTTTATTGAAATAGTTTTAATCGAGTATTTCCTCTCTAATTACTATATATTCCGAATATGAATCTCATATAAAATTGGAAAATATAGTTCTTTAAAATAACTTTTTGCATTATTAAATTGATGATCCATCTGAATCTTCAACAAGTTTAATTTAGATAATATCTATTGCAGGATTAATTGAGATTAATAATTTTATTTGTTAGTCTAATGCACTAACTAATTCTTCGAATTCATTTATATCTTTGAAATCTGAAATAATACAATTAACAAATTATAGTATTTCAAAACATAATGTAATACCTTTTGAATTATGGATGTCTTATTATGATTTTTCAATTGATATAGATGAATTTGATTAGGATTAAATCAATTTAATCATTTAATAAACTTTTAAAATCAAAAGTAAAGGTGGAGGTGGTTTAATATCAGCATCAAGTTTTTCCTGTTTTAATTGTTCATTTGAAGATATAATAGGATTTAAAAGTTCTGTATTTGAAATTAAGACTTAAGGAGATGGAAATATTTCTTTCATAAATTTAACAATAAAATCATTAGAATATGATTTATCTTAAATAGTTGATAGTACAGGTTGTATTACTATTTATTCTTCTAATAGTTTACTTAATTTATAAATCTATAATGCAGTATTTTAAAATATATTCAATCGAATGGCTCCTTCAATTTTTACAATAATTCCTTCATAATAAAGGAATTAAGTAAGAATTGAAGATATTTAAATTATTAATACAATATCATTAAAGAATCCAATTATCAATTTATAATTTTCATCATATGATATAAATTTAAATAAAGTAATTATTAGAAATATCAAAATATCATAATATGAAGATATTTGGATTAAGTATTTTGATAAGACTGGAATGATAAGTTAATCTGAAATTTAAGATATAACTGGAACATCTAATGCTTTGATATAATTATCAAATTGTAAAGTTGTCATCTAAAACATTTTAATTTAAGGCCTTTATGCCTTCCCTTTAATTAAATTGATTAATGTTTAACAATTATTTATCTCTTATTTTTAGGCAATTGAAATTCAAACATTCTATGGATTCAGTCTATTAGAATTAAAACTAAATTTGTAAATAAAATAAACCATTTATTTTGAATTCGTATATATTTAACACTTTAAACCTTATATAGTTAGAGATGCTTCAATCTTCTACAATCCTAAAATGAATTATATGATTTCAGGATGCGGTTAAGTTGAAAATATTTAATAGAATCCTTAGATTTATTATTTTAATGATATCATTAATCTTATGTAAACTTGGCAATTGAGCTCAATAATAGAAATTCAAACTGATTCAAATTAGACGGTTATATATCTTTAAAATATCTTATTTTAAGAAAATTATTGTTCTGTATGCACAAGTGGTCTATTTTTTTTGAAAATGGAAAATTAAAGTTAAATAATAATTAGAGATCTAATATGTAATTAAAATATGGTTTAAATTAATGGATGCATAAATATTGTAACAAATTATTCATAAAACTAAACTATATCAATATCTAATTCTAACTTCTTTCTTAATAACGGCACTAATGGTATAGCTATATATTCAAGTGGCATAGCCATAAGTATTGCTAAATGTAAAATCATATAAAACATAGGCGCGTTAGGAGGCGGTTTATTTTTAGAAATAAATAACATACCTTTTTTGATAAAAGAATCAATAATTATAAATAATTTTGCAGACAAAGGAGGAGGAATTTATTTTTAAGGTTAATCTCACATCAATTAAGAGAATTTTATTTAATCCCTCATTTAATTCAACAATGCTAACACAGAATCAAGAAACTTCTTTGAATTTCCAGCCCATTTAAGTTTGATTATAAATTCTTAAGAAATGTAATCAGAGGAAATTTAAATTAGTAATATTACATTAAGAAGTCTGTTGCTAAAACCTTATAAAATAATAGAATAAGGGGTTTGTAAAACTAGTTCATATTTGATGATTCCAAGTGAATAAGTAATCAAAGATTATAAAATTTTCATTCCATCACAACAAGTAAGTTTGAATATTTTCGATGAATTTCAAATATCATTAAGAAATAGTAGAAATGAATTATTGACTAATTCACAATTATTATTTTGCCAAGTCTCATAAATTAATTTAGAATTTAATTAGGACTTCTAATTAGATGAATCTTAAATAATTGCAACTCTTCAAGCAGATTATAATTCTTACACTTTTGATTTAGGATCTATTTCGTTTCATTTTAATCCCTTTCAAGAAAAAAATGAATATATATAGATATTAATAAGTTGCTCATCATTAGAATCAACAGAATATTTATATTATTTAATCAAAGCAAGAACTTATAAATGTTAATTAGGAGAATTCTATGCTGATGAAGGATGTTAAATTTGTGAATCAATATATGGATTTTATTCAGTAACTTATAATGCTACAAAGTGTTCCATATTTGATAAAATTAAGTTTGCAAATATTACTTCAAATTCTATTTAATTATTTGAAGGTTTTTGGAGACCCAATTTATATTCAGATTATACAGAGTTTTGTTTCAAGAATGTAAAATTTTGTAAAGGGGGTTGGATGGTTGGAAATGAACTTTGTAGTATAGGACGTATTGGAGGATTGTGTGAAGAATGTGATACTCATAATATAAGAGGTGAAGGATAATTTTTTAAAAATTAATCAGATGCTGAATGTTTTGGTTGCTCAATTAATACAATTACACCCTTCATTTTGACTTCCCTTTGGTATAAATATATATTATTCAAGGGCTATTATTACTATATTGATAACATTAAGAAGTATTGAAAAATCAAATTAATTATTTTTTTCATGTAAACTTAATTTTAAGCCAAATATTGCCAAAATTTTATTTAAATTGGGCTAAGGTACTATTATAAATTTAAAATTTAGATATGGAAAGTATTTTCATTAAGATGGTTATCAATTATTTATGGATATTCTCAGTCATTTTTACATTTAATATTAATTTTTCGATATCTCTTTCCTTGATTGAATCAACTAGTAATGCTTCATAATTTATGGCATTTAATCTTGATTGTTTTATATCGAATACTTTTGAAAATGAACTTATCTATCTCAGGATAATTGCTACTTTTATATTAATTCTTATTTAATTTATAATAATTTAGCTTGGATACAACTTATATACACTTTTGACAAAAGGTAGATTCTAAAGAAGCATTATTTCAAATACATTATTATACCTCTATGTTTCTAATTACTCTAGTTTAATCAAATAGTATAAAATATTTTATAATTAGATTTTGTTCAATTGTGTCAAAAAGAATAATATCAAATATTTAATATGTATAAGGAGATGTTTCATTAATTTATGGCACTTAAAATCATTTTTAATGGATGTATGTATTTGCTATACCTGGATTAACAATATTTGGATTATTAATTCCTTTATTTTTTTTTTTTCTTCTCCTTAACAAATAAGGCAAACTAGCGATTATAAAAGTTAGAAGGCATATTTGTTATTTGTTTAATGAATACAATCAAGAAAGTTTCTTTTGGGAATAAATCAAATTTTTAAAAAAGACAAGTATCATTCTTGTTTTAACATTTTTTGAATCTAATATATTATTTAAAGCATCTTTATTGGGGTTATGTTTATTAGTTTATTAATTATTGGCAGGAAAACAGTAACCATACATAATATCAAGTTTAAATAACCTGGATCTCTAAACAGGTTAAATTTGTTCTATTGCTATATTTATTGCAACTGCCAAATATGTAAATGAATAGGAAGGAGAAAATACATCCGCTTAAATTTTGTAAATTGTTATTTTAATTCTATTTATTAAACTCTGCTCTTTATTTATTTTTGATATATTTAAAGGATATGCTAAAAAATATAAGGTATAAATGTTTACTTTGATTTATAAAATTATCAGAAATATAAAGCCAAATTGTATGAAAGCAGAATCTATCAATAATGTAATTACATAATTGAAACTAAAAGAGATTAGATTAAAATCCAATTATTAAATTTTAAAAATGGCCTCATAAGAATAAATAAAACGATAAAAGTAAANATAATTGCAACTCTTCAAGCAGATTATAATTCTTACACTTTTGATTTAGGATCTATTTCGTTTCATTTTAATCCCTTTCAAGAAAAAAATGAATATATATAGATATTAATAAGTTGCTCATCATTAGAATCAACAGAATATTTATATTATTTAATCAAAGCAAGAACTTATAAATGTTAATTAGGAGAATTCTATGCTGATGAAGGATGTTAAATTTGTGAATCAATATATGGATTTTATTCAGTAACTTATAATGCTACAAAGTGTTCCATATTTGATAAAATTAAGTTTGCAAATATTACTTCAAATTCTATTTAATTATTTGAAGGTTTTTGGAGACCCAATTTATATTCAGATTATACAGAGTTTTGTTTCAAGAATGTAAAATTTTGTAAAGGGGGTTGGATGGTTGGAAATGAACTTTGTAGTATAGGACGTATTGGAGGATTGTGTGAAGAATGTGATACTCATAATATAAGAGGTGAAGGATAATTTTTTAAAAATTAATCAGATGCTGAATGTTTTGGTTGCTCAATTAATACAATTACACCCTTCATTTTGACTTCCCTTTGGTATAAATATATATTATTCAAGGGCTATTATTACTATATTGATAACATTAAGAAGTATTGAAAAATCAAATTAATTATTTTTTTCATGTAAACTTAATTTTAAGCCAAATATTGCCAAAATTTTATTTAAATTGGGCTAAGGTACTATTATAAATTTAAAATTTAGATATGGAAAGTATTTTCATTAAGATGGTTATCAATTATTTATGGATATTCTCAGTCATTTTTACATTTAATATTAATTTTTCGATATCTCTTTCCTTGATTGAATCAACTAGTAATGCTTCATAATTTATGGCATTTAATCTTGATTGTTTTATATCGAATACTTTTGAAAATGAACTTATCTATCTCAGGATAATTGCTACTTTTATATTAATTCTTATTTAATTTATAATAATTTAGCTTGGATACAACTTATATACACTTTTGACAAAAGGTAGATTCTAAAGAAGCATTATTTCAAATACATTATTATACCTCTATGTTTCTAATTACTCTAGTTTAATCAAATAGTATAAAATATTTTATAATTAGATTTTGTTCAATTGTGTCAAAAAGAATAATATCAAATATTTAATATGTATAAGGAGATGTTTCATTAATTTATGGCACTTAAAATCATTTTTAATGGATGTATGTATTTGCTATACCTGGATTAACAATATTTGGATTATTAATTCCTTTATTTTTTTTTTTTCTTCTCCTTAACAAATAAGGCAAACTAGCGATTATAAAAGTTAGAAGGCATATTTGTTATTTGTTTAATGAATACAATCAAGAAAGTTTCTTTTGGGAATAAATCAAATTTTTAAAAAAGACAAGTATCATTCTTGTTTTAACATTTTTTGAATCTAATATATTATTTAAAGCATCTTTATTGGGGTTATGTTTATTAGTTTATTAATTATTGGCAGGAAAACAGTAACCATACATAATATCAAGTTTAAATAACCTGGATCTCTAAACAGGTTAAATTTGTTCTATTGCTATATTTATTGCAACTGCCAAATATGTAAATGAATAGGAAGGAGAAAATACATCCGCTTAAATTTTGTAAATTGTTATTTTAATTCTATTTATTAAACTCTGCTCTTTATTTATTTTTGATATATTTAAAGGATATGCTAAAAAATATAAGGTATAAATGTTTACTTTGATTTATAAAATTATCAGAAATATAAAGCCAAATTGTATGAAAGCAGAATCTATCAATAATGTAATTACATAATTGAAACTAAAAGAGATTAGATTAAAATCCAATTATTAAATTTTAAAAATGGCCTCATAAGAATAAATAAAACGATAAAAGTAAANAAGTTTGCAAATATTACTTCAAATTCTATTTAATTATTTGAAGGTTTTTGGAGACCCAATTTATATTCAGATTATACAGAGTTTTGTTTCAAGAATGTAAAATTTTGTAAAGGGGGTTGGATGGTTGGAAATGAACTTTGTAGTATAGGACGTATTGGAGGATTGTGTGAAGAATGTGATACTCATAATATAAGAGGTGAAGGATAATTTTTTAAAAATTAATCAGATGCTGAATGTTTTGGTTGCTCAATTAATACAATTACACCCTTCATTTTGACTTCCCTTTGGTATAAATATATATTATTCAAGGGCTATTATTACTATATTGATAACATTAAGAAGTATTGAAAAATCAAATTAATTATTTTTTTCATGTAAACTTAATTTTAAGCCAAATATTGCCAAAATTTTATTTAAATTGGGCTAAGGTACTATTATAAATTTAAAATTTAGATATGGAAAGTATTTTCATTAAGATGGTTATCAATTATTTATGGATATTCTCAGTCATTTTTACATTTAATATTAATTTTTCGATATCTCTTTCCTTGATTGAATCAACTAGTAATGCTTCATAATTTATGGCATTTAATCTTGATTGTTTTATATCGAATACTTTTGAAAATGAACTTATCTATCTCAGGATAATTGCTACTTTTATATTAATTCTTATTTAATTTATAATAATTTAGCTTGGATACAACTTATATACACTTTTGACAAAAGGTAGATTCTAAAGAAGCATTATTTCAAATACATTATTATACCTCTATGTTTCTAATTACTCTAGTTTAATCAAATAGTATAAAATATTTTATAATTAGATTTTGTTCAATTGTGTCAAAAAGAATAATATCAAATATTTAATATGTATAAGGAGATGTTTCATTAATTTATGGCACTTAAAATCATTTTTAATGGATGTATGTATTTGCTATACCTGGATTAACAATATTTGGATTATTAATTCCTTTATTTTTTTTTTTTCTTCTCCTTAACAAATAAGGCAAACTAGCAATTATAAAAGTTAGAAGGCATATTTGTTATTTGTTTAATGAATACAATCAAAAAAGTTTCTTTTGGGAATAAATCAAATTTTTAAAAAAGACAAGTATCATTCTTGTGTTAACATTTTTTGAATCTAATATACTATTTAAAGCATCTTTATTGGGGTTATGTTTATTAGTTTATTAATTATTGGCAGGAAAACAGTAACCATACATAATATCAAGTTTAAATAACCTGGATCTCTAAACAGGTTAAATTTGTTCTATTGCTATATTTATTGCAACTGCCAAATATGTAAATGAATAGGAAGGAGAAAATACATCCGCTTAAATTTTGTAAATTGTTATTATAATTCTATTTATTAAACTCTGCTCTTTATTTATTTTTGATATATTTAAAGGATATGCTAAAAAATATAAGGTATAAATGTTTACTTTGATTTATAAAATTATCAGAAATATAAAGCCAAATTGTATGAAAGCAGAATCTATCAATAATGTAATTACATAATTGAAACTAAAAGAGATTAGATTAAGATCGAATTATTAAATTTTAAAAATGGCCTCATAAGAATAAATAAAACGATAAAAGTAATTAAAATTTTATGATTTAGATGCAATTGTTAAGCAACTAGAAATTAAAATCTTTCCTCATTAAATAGATATAAACAATCTGAATCAGTTACAAATAAATACCTATTAACAATTGAACGATGAATTAACAGATAATTATTTTCAAGAATATTAATATTTTTCAAATTAATCATTTTTATTTCAAACTTTTTAATCTGCGAAATTATATATTTATTATTAATTCGATTTATTCTTAGATTAAATGTTTTTTTCGAAATTAAAGAAAAAATTGGAAAATTATTCGATAAATAGTTTAACTCTCTAATTTTTTAACTTTATTATATCATTTAATTTTCTATATAGGCAACATTTAATGTTAAAAATACAATGGATTCCTGTTTTTCTAAAATTAAATCAAGTAAAAAAAGAAATGCTATTCTACTTTAAGCTTTAAATGTTCAAAATTTGATAATACTAAATAGTCTAGTTAAATTTATTTAATAGGAAACCAATTCTTTCTATGATTCTACTTATTTTAGTTTCATTAAAATATTTTAATAGAGGTTGAAAGTGAACTTTGAATAACCTTAGAAAGAAGAGGATTGTGTAAAAAAATAGATAAAATTATATGTGAGAGAAAATTCTAAAGATTTAAAAGTATTCTCAATATTATAGTAGTGTTACAACAGCTTGTAGTCCATTTATTATGAATAATAAAGCTTTTTATGAATCAATTATTTTCTTTGTTTTAACTGATCTTGAAAATAATTAAATAATAGGAATTAGAAGTGTTATTTTAAAACAATACCTGCTAACAATTTTCAATACATAAATTGAAAATCAAAAAGTAATATACTATCAGAAATATATATTGATAAGAATTTATCAATTTTCTAAAATTATTTAATCCTAAAACAAAAAATTAACATAGTAATAATTTTATGAATATTGTAAAATTATTTAATTCTCATACAAATGATTAAAATATTAATAAGAATATATAAATATTTAAAAATTATATTCATATAATATTAATCTTTTTTAATTTAATTTGTTATATTTAATTTTGAATTATATAATTATAAGGTTTATATAAGTTTTTATTGGATATTTAACTATTTTATGAGGACCTTTTTAATTATTAAATATTCATAAATTATCAAGAAGTTAGTATATTTTTATATGGAAGTATTGAAATAAACGATAATCATAAGATATTATATTTATTAATAGTTATTTTTTATTTTAGAATCAAGATTTTATATAATTTAATTTATTATTTATCTTTTAGAAAGGAATTCAAATTTTTCAAAAAAAAATAACATCTAATGAAGCAATTAATCTAGTATTTAAGATATATAATAGATGAGTAAAATTAAAAGCTAAAAATGTTTATGTTTTATATATAACTCATTAATTTTACAAACTTTATTTGAATTATTCTATTCATATTATAAGTTAATACTCAATTTTTTTTACGCCCATTAATTTTTTGGATCGATTAAAATGATCTTATTATAGAATTCTAATGCTCCTTGTAAATTCATTTAATCTTATAGGTATGTTCCTAATAAATTATAAATTAAATGACCAATTGATGCAAGTGATTATATATGATTAGAGTCAATTTAGAGAATCTAATTAAAATGAAAAATGGCTTCATCTTAATATTTTAACATGCGCAATGATTCTCCTTTTAATTCAAATTATATTTGTTACCTTTACAAAATAAGGAAATTATATGCTATGAATCTATTTATAATATTTTGTCAACCCAAATAATAGCATCAGTATATTAATTTAACATTCTTAAACTATCAGCTAACTTAATTCATTTTAAGTTACCTTTACAAAACAAAGCATTAATGTGATTGGGATTTATTGATAGGATAATATCTGAAAATTGAATGGCTTCTCGGTATTAATTTAACATTCTTAAGCTATCAGCTAAATTCTTTAAGTATATGATTACCTTTACAAAATAAAGAATTTATATAATTTGGATTAATGGAAAGTGCTTTATCTATCCAAACAATGGCTTCTTCATATCTACTTAACATTTTTAAACTTTCAGCTATTTATTAAAATTATTTTACCTTTACATCTTAATGAACTTAGATGATTTTGATCAATAGATAATGCTTTATCTGACCAAAAAATTGCTTCTTAATACTAATTTAACATTCTTAAACACTCAGCTAATCATTTTTTAAGTAAAATACCTTTACACCACAATGAATTTACATGATGTGAATCAACGCTTAAAGCTTGTTCAGCCCAAATAATAGCCTCCCTAAATCTACCTAATCTGTATATGATTTCAGCTTTTATAATTTGAAATAATCACCTTTACACTATAAGGAATTGACATTTGAATTATCATATGATAATGCTTTATTCACCCAAAAAATTGCTTCTTCATACTTATGACTCAATTTTAAGATTTCAGCTAATTAATCACAATCAAACTACCCTTACACCACATTGAATTTAAGTGTTCAGAATTAATTAATAATGCTTTATTCACATACATCAAAGCATCATCAAATAAACATAATCTTTTTAAGCAATCTCCTATGATATAAATAATAATACCTTTACAAAACAAAGAATTTATATGATTGGGATCTATTGATAATACTTTATCTGCCCAAAAGATAGAATCTTCAAATTTATTGATCATTTTTAGGCAGTCAGCTAAACATATTTGAATGATATACCTTTACACCATAATGAATTAACATCCTTTGAATCTGTTAATAATACGCTCTCTAAATGTGCAATTGCTTCATTATAAAAGCCTTACATTCGTAAACTATCAGCTATTGATTTTAAAATGGTATAACCTTTAAAAAAATGAATATGCGTATTATTCTTTTTTAAATTGAAGGATTAGTCTAAACATATGATGGCTTCCTAAAAATTTCTCTACCAATATAAATTTTGACCTAAAATATTGACTACACTTACCTTTTTCAAACAAAATTTCCGCTTCAGAATCATAATTTCTAATACCTATCTCCTAATTTTTTGATTCCGTTTACTCATTTGAATCTATTTATGAAATTAAATTATTTTATTGTAGCGTTTTATTAGATTAATTTCTAATTTAATTTTAGATTAGATTGACTTCTTAAGAGAGTGAATACCAATCTATCCTCTATTCTGCTTTGTACATTAACATTTTGTCGATCAATTATAGCAAATTATTAGAAAACTTTGTATAATGACAGAATTTTACATTTTTAAATGGTTTTTAACACTAAAATGGTTTATATTTTAATTTTAATTAAAATTCTCTTAATGAAACTTCGTCTTTTTAAAAACCACAATAATTTTATCCTTCAAATACTAAATAATGTAATAAAACACCTAACTACAATTTAATTTAATTCATACAGAAAATATATCGCATTGATAATCATATGGATAATTATCAAATATTTCTGGGGCTTTAAATAATTCAGTTCCTATCCTAGTTTAGGTTAAGTCTTAGTTTAGCACTTTCCCACAACCAAAATCAATAAGCTTGAATATATTAAATAAAAACTTTCCAAACAATATTATCATCCGATTCTTTTAATAATATATTTGATGGTTTGATATCTCTATGTATAATTCCTAAATCCTTCAAATAAATGTATCCATTTATTACTGAAGATAATAGATTTAAGATTTCTTCTTCTGTCATTAAAAAATTCCTTTCCTTAAAATATTAGTCAAGATTTATTTAACAATATTCCATTATAATGTATTGGAAATTATTTTATGTGAAAATTTCAATAAAATTTATAATGTTTTTACACTTTTTATCTTAAATTTGATTTTAAAGAAGATCAATAATTTATATTTCATTATAAAAACTTCCTATTTAATTATTAATTTTTGTGCAATACAAATGTTCAAAATTTTAAAGATCATAAGTTTTATACACTTCCCCTTAATATCCTTTTCCGATAGATTATTTTTTATCAATTAAATATCTATTTTGTAAAATCAATATTTGAGGTTAGAGGTAGGCTAAATTTTTTAATTCATTCCAGCCAATTCTCTATATTGGATTACGAACAATCATCCTTTCCATTAACATGTTTAATGTTCTATCTTTGTATCTAAATTTGTTAGATTAATAACCCAAGTTTAATTAAATAAGCTATTCATTATTTAATTCTTTAAAACACAATTAGTATAAAATTATCCCTAACTTCCTATAGCATAAAAGAATTACAGAATAAATGTCACATTTATTATCATAATTATTTTGTTCAACTATTTCAGGGGCTTAGTAAGGAGGCTTATTTACAATTTGCGACAGTTTAAAAGAATCATTTACAGCTTAACTGAAATCAACAATCTGATTAGATTTATAATATAGAATAAATACTTTCACAATTATAATATTTTCATGAATTTTTTTGATAAAGATTGATCTCAAATTCAAATTTCTATGAGTAATATTTAATTGTTCTAAATGAATACATGCATCTAGAATTTGAATAATTATATTCAATATTTCATCGATGGTTAGCCAATAATTAATTCTACCTTACAAATATACTTCTAAAGTATTTGCATCATATTCATTTGAAATGACTTTATAATTTCCAGATCCTTCTGCTTCTACTTAAAATTCTCCAATATTATGATGAGGATGGTTTTGTAGAGTCTCTTTTATCCTAATTAGATGATTAGTTTAATTCATTAATAATAAATATAAATAATTAATAAAATGAGAATTATATATATATATATAAATGATTCATAGCATTTTAGATTTTTTATTATTATCTTTGTTTATAATATGGAATTCGATTATATGATTTCTTAACAACTTCTTATAAATTCTTTGTTATTGCTATAGATTTAGTTGTAAACTTTGAAAATAGCAAATATAAATAATTTAGGATAATGAAGACTTTATAATAAATAATTTTATAGAATTTATAATGATTATAATAAATATTTAGAATATTCAAATAATATTATATCATAATTAATAAATCGATATTTTCATTCTAATAATAAAAGGAGATTATTAGAAACGGTTTCCTATTATTTATGTCTACCAGATGATAATATATTTTAATTTTCAGTAATAGTTAGATGTGATCTAAATAATAGAATTTTAATTACTTTTGATTTTTAATTTATGCCTTTGAAATAGTTAGCAAATGTAGTTTTAAAATGGAAAAGTTTGTTCTTAATCTATTTTCTTTCAATCTCCAATTTTTTAATATATTATCTAAATGATTTGCCATCCTTGAATTTGGATTAATAAATTTTTAGATATTAAATAATTTATTAATCCAAATTTACCTTATATTTTTTAATGTATGCTCTAAAGATATCCAAAAAAAATGGATAACAGAGTCTTAAACAAAGAAGCATAATAACAACTTGTAATATTTCAGAATAGGAATTTTCAATTTCTTTTTCGCTAACATATTTGGCAGTTGCAACAAAAATAGCAATAGAACAAATTTATCCTGTTTAGAGATCTAGGTTATTTAAGCTTGATATAATATAGGGTTGCTGTTTTCCAGCTAATAATTAATAAACTAATAAAACTAATCCCAATAAAGAAGCTTTTAGTAGGATATTGGATTCAAAGTATGTCATAATAAGTATAATAACTGTCTTTTTTGATAATTTGATTTATTCCCAAAAATAGCTTTTTTCATTGTATTCATTGAATAAGTAGCAAATATGTCTTCTAAGTTTGATGTGTTCAAGCTTATTTTTATTAATAAGCATTAAGAAAAACAAAGAAAAAGGAATACAACATCCAAATATTCCAAGTCCAGGTATGGCAAAATAATATATCCATTAATAATGATTTTACGAGCCAAATATAAGAGTCAGATCGCCTTATATATATTGATTGTTTGAGATTATTCTTTTTGACAAAATAGAACAAAATCTAATTATAAAGAACTTATTACTATTTAATCAGTCCAGCATAATTTGAAACATATAGGTATAATAATGTATTCGAAATTATGCTTTTATCAAACTTTTGTTTAATAAATAATTAATAAACTTTTAATCCAACTTAAATTATGATGAATTATATGAGTAATATTCCTAAAGTAGTAATGATCCTGAGATAAAGTAGTTCAATTTAAGAAGCATCTGATAAATAACAATCGAGACTGAATGCCATGAATTATGAAGTATTACTAAATTAATCAATGATAGAAAAAGATAGCGAAAACTTTAAATTAAAAGTAAATATGACTGAAAAAATCCATAAATAATTAAGCAAAATCTTAATGAAAATACTTTCTAAATCTAAATTTTTAACAATATAATATTACCTTAATCTAATTTAAATAAGATTTTACTATATTTTGGTTTAAGCTTAAGCTTAAGTGTTGTAAATAATTAATTTGATTTCTCAATGCTTCTTAAGGTAATTATAATAGAAATTAAAGCCCTTAAATAGTTTTAAATATTTATACCAAAGCGAAGCAAAAATAAATGATACGATATAATTGGCTGTATCAGAGCAACCATAGCATATAGAATCTTATTAATTCTTAAAAAATTATCCTTACCCTCTTATATTATGGTTATCACATTCCTCACACAATCCTCCAATATGTCCTATACTACAAAGTTCGTTTCCAACTTACCAACCTCCTCTACAAAATTCAAAATTTTTGAAACAAAAATCGGTATTATCAGAGTAAGAATGTGGTCTCCAATAACCTACTAATAATTAAATAGCATGAGAAGTGATATTTGCAAATTTAGTTTTATCAAATACTGAACACTTTGTAGCATTATAAGTTACTGAATAAAATCCATATTTTGACTCACAAATTTAACATCCTTCATCAACATAGAATTCTCCTAATTAACATTTATAAGTTCTTGCTTTGATTAAATAATGTAAATATTCTGTTGAATTTTATTATGAGCAATTTATTAATATTAATAAATTTTGATTTTCTTCATGATAGGGATTAAAATGAAATTAAATAGATCCTAAATCAAAATTATTGTTTCTAATATCGGCTTGAAGGGTAGAAATCATTTTAAAATCTTTTAATTAATATTGTTAATTCATTTAAACAGTTTTATATGAAATTTAACAAGAAAATTGCTGTATATTAAATAAAAATTCGTTTCTACTATTCTTTATTGATATTGAAAATTCCTTAAATATATACTTTTGCTTTCCTGATGAAAAAAATTAATAATCTTTTACCACTTAATTACTTGGTACCATCAAATATGAGCTAATTTTTCTAATCCCTTATTCTATAATTATATAAGGGTTAAGCTTGAGGCTTCTTAAAGTAATGTTATTAATAATAAGTTCTTCTGATTGCATTTCTTAAGAATTAATTACTAAGCTTAAATGAGTTGGGAATTCAACTAAATTATTTGCAAAATAATCTGCTAAGTTGAAATGTAAGAATGATTAAATGAAGTTATTTTAATTGATATTGCCATCATTTAACATAAATATTCCACCTCCTTCCTTTGCTTAGTTATATATTATTGTAGATTTTTTAATCATCAGATTTCTATTCTTCATATCTAAATGTAAACCGCCACCTTAAAAACTGGCTCTATTTTTTAATATTTTACATTAATTAATTGTCATTTACATGTTAGATGAATATAAAGCACTACCTGTGCTGCCATTATTATGAAAAAAAATAGAATTTGAAATCATGCTATATTGGTCTTTATCATTAGATTTCCAAATATTTATACATCCATATTTTTATATCGAATTTTCATTACAAATAAGGTCTCTAATTATCAGTGTACTATGGTTAACCATTTTCAAAAATAATAGTCCATTTGAACAGAACTCACATTAATTATCCTATAATAAGATATTTTAAAGATATATAACCGTCTAATTTGAATCAGTTTGAATTTCTATTATTGAGCTCAATTGCCAAGTTTACATAAGATTAATGATATCATTAAAATAATAAATCTAAGGATTCTATTAAATATTTTCAACTTAACCGCATCCTGAAATCATATAATTCATTTTAGGATTGTAGAAGATTGAAGCATCTCTAACTATATAAGGTTTAAAGTGTTAAATATATACGAATTCAAAATAAATGGTTTATTTTATTTACAAATTTAGTTTTAATTCTAATAGACTGAATCCATAGAATGTTTGAATTTCAATTGCCTAAAAATAAGAGATAAATAATTGTTAAACATTAATCAATTTAATTAAAGGGAAGGCATAAAGGCCTTAAATTAAAATGTTTTAGATGACAACTTTACAATTTGATAATTATATCAAAGCATTAGATGTTCCAGTTATATCTTAAATTTCAGATTAACTTATCATTCCAGTCTTATCAAAATACTTAATCCAAATATCTTCATATTATGATATTTTGATATTTCTAATAATTACTTTATTTAAATTTATATCATATGATGAAAATNCTGTATATTAAATAAAAATTCGTTTCTACTATTCTTTATTGATATTGAAAATTCCTTAAATATATACTTTTGCTTTCCTGATGAAAAAAATTAATAATCTTTTACCACTTAATTACTTGGTACCATCAAATATGAGCTAATTTTTCTAATCCCTTATTCTATAATTATATAAGGGTTAAGCTTGAGGCTTCTTAAAGTAATGTTATTAATAATAAGTTCTTCTGATTGCATTTCTTAAGAATTAATTACTAAGCTTAAATGAGTTGGGAATTCAACTAAATTATTTGCAAAATAATCTGCTAAGTTGAAATGTAAGAATGATTAAATGAAGTTATTTTAATTGATATTGCCATCATTTAACATAAATATTCCACCTCCTTCCTTTGCTTAGTTATATATTATTGTAGATTTTTTAATCATCAGATTTCTATTCTTCATATCTAAATGTAAACCGCCACCTTAAAAACTGGCTCTATTTTTTAATATTTTACATTAATTAATTGTCATTTACATGTTAGATGAATATAAAGCACTACCTGTGCTGCCATTATTATGAAAAAAAATAGAATTTGAAATCATGCTATATTGGTCTTTATCATTAGATTTCCAAATATTTATACATCCATATTTTTATATCGAATTTTCATTACAAATAAGGTCTCTAATTATCAGTGTACTATGGTTAACCATTTTCAAAAATAATAGTCCATTTGAACAGAACTCACATTAATTATCCTATAATAAGATATTTTAAAGATATATAACCGTCTAATTTGAATCAGTTTGAATTTCTATTATTGAGCTCAATTGCCAAGTTTACATAAGATTAATGATATCATTAAAATAATAAATCTAAGGATTCTATTAAATATTTTCAACTTAACCGCATCCTGAAATCATATAATTCATTTTAGGATTGTAGAAGATTGAAGCATCTCTAACTATATAAGGTTTAAAGTGTTAAATATATACGAATTCAAAATAAATGGTTTATTTTATTTACAAATTTAGTTTTAATTCTAATAGACTGAATCCATAGAATGTTTGAATTTCAATTGCCTAAAAATAAGAGATAAATAATTGTTAAACATTAATCAATTTAATTAAAGGGAAGGCATAAAGGCCTTAAATTAAAATGTTTTAGATGACAACTTTACAATTTGATAATTATATCAAAGCATTAGATGTTCCAGTTATATCTTAAATTTCAGATTAACTTATCATTCCAGTCTTATCAAAATACTTAATCCAAATATCTTCATATTATGATATTTTGATATTTCTAATAATTACTTTATTTAAATTTATATCATATGATGAAAATTATAAATTGATAATTGGATTCTTTAATGATATTGTATTAATAATTTAAATATCTTCAATTCTTACTTAATTCCTTTATTATGAAGGAATTATTGTAAAAATTGAAGGAGCCATTCGATTGAATATATTTTAAAATACTGCATTATAGATTTATAAATTAAGTAAACTATTAGAAGAATAAATAGTAATACAACCTGTACTATCAACTATTTAAGATAAATCATATTCTAATGATTTTATTGTTAAATTTATGAAAGAAATATTTCCATCTCCTTAAGTCTTAATTTCAAATACAGAACTTTTAAATCCTATTATATCTTCAAATGAACAATTAAAACAGGAAAAACTTGATGCTGATATTAAACCACCTCCACCTTTACTTTTGATTTTAAAAGTTTATTAAATGATTAAATTGATTTAATCCTAATCAAATTCATCTATATCAATTGAAAAATCATAATAAGACATCCATAATTCAAAAGGTATTACATTATGTTTTGAAATACTATAATTTGTTAATTGTATTATTTCAGATTTCAAAGATATAAATGAATTCGAAGAATTAGTTAGTGCATTAGACTAACAAATAAAATTATTAATCTCAATTAATCCTGCAATAGATATTATCTAAATTAAACTTGTTGAAGATTCAGATGGATCATCAATTTAATAATGCAAAAAGTTATTTTAAAGAACTATATTTTCCAATTTTATATGAGATTCATATTCGGAATATATAGTAATTAGAGAGGAAATACTCGATTAAAACTATTTCAATAAAAAGTTTCCTACAAACTGCATATCTATCAATTACAAAAAATTTTTTTAATTAGTTAAACTATTTCCTTTTGATGATATCTCTATTAATGATCTATCAATACTAGATTATTAATGAACTTTAATATTTTAAATGATAATAATATTGAATCCATTAATTAAAAAGAGTTAATTTTGAATATAAGTGTATTCTGAACAATTTAAACTAAAACTTACTTTATAATCGATTTCAAGATTTTCGTAAACTATATTTGATGCATAAAATTTTTAGATTTCAAAAAGATAGAATATACGTAAGTTATTTGAATTAATAATCTAAATGTTCTCAATATCTAGTTGGAAGCAATGAATATTAAATAAGTTGATTTATTGTTATTAATTAATTCCTCTTTAATTTTATGAAATTGTAAAGGATCTTAATTAAACATATATATTCTTATTTGATAATGTTGATTCTATATTTAATAAATTAGAGTTTGTAAGATCATTTTCATAAACTAAATAATTTTCAATTAAACAAACAAGTTTATTTTGAACATCAATCTAAATAGCAGCCATAAAATAAGAATTAATAAAAGTATTTTAATTTATTTCAGTCTTTAGCAAAGTTGTATTTGAATTAAATTTTATAATAGTTGACATTTCAATCAAATTTTATTAAAAATTAAAGTTAATTATCCAAATTTGGAAATTATAAGTGCTATTCAAAAAATAGGATTAATAAAGTTTATTATATGTGAAATTTATTGTATTGATTTCAAATTCACCAATATAAATTAAATTATTTAAAAATGTAATGAATGACGAATTTACAAATTAACATGAATCAATCACTAATTAATCAATTTAAATCTTAATTTTATTGTTAAAAATTTATAAGAATTAAGTATTTGTAAAGTTGCATTATTTCAAAGTCATTTTCTCAATTTTGATTATTCCTTATTACTATTTTTACTAAAAATTGAATAATGAAGAATTTTTCAGATTTGTATCAATTATTAATATATTTTTCAAAGTTATATCTCCAAATATATCTGAATCTAAAATAGGATTAACATTTGAAATTGAACTCTATTATATTACAATGTTATTTAATAATAAATTTACTTATTAATTTTTATTTTCAAATTAAAAATGATCTTAATTTTTAAATTAGAAATGTGCATCATTAATTTCTATAAAATCAAAACCTGATACAATAAAAGTTTTAAAATTATTTTCATAAAGATTCAATCTGAGTTTCAGAAATCTTAAACTAAAAATTTCTGATTTCAATTAAGATGTTTACATAAAATCTTTATAAGACTCATCATCTTTCTTTTGATCAATTTTAATAGATAAAATATTGAGCCCAATTTAGTTACTATACTATATATTAACTTTTGAATCAATATCAATATAATTATCTTAGCTAGATAGTTCTAAATTAAATTCTTAAATGCAATTTATAGTATAACAATATTTAGCAATAAAAAAGTATGGATCGATAATCACATTTGGATATGAAACTTTTCGGATACATTTATTTGTATATTTTCTGTTTATTCCATTCATCTTAAAGTTTGGATTTAGTTTCTAAAAATAATTAACTTATCTTACATAAATTTCTGTTTCGGATCTTCTTTCACAAACATCACACAATTCAGGACATTCTATACATTAGCCATCTATTTCACTACGAATTGGTTATTAGTAGTAATTTTATGGACATTAAATACAATTAAAAATGTCAGAATTTATAGATAAATCGCATTTCAAACAATCAGAAGTACAATACTTTATACAATCTTATTAATCATTTTATTTGTATCCTTCTTTACATTCAACTTAAAATTATATAACATTCTAATCATTATACGGCCTTTAATAAAAATATTAGTTTGGTAAAAATGTCATCATNGAAAATAATGGTTTCTAAATAAATATTGGTTATTTGTTCAGAATATATAGTCATCAGAGAGAAAAAGTTAGCTTAGTATTAATGCAATAATAAATTTCCATCGAATTCCAAATTTATCAGCCTTAAGCTTGAAGGTATTTTAGTAGGACTTTTTCTAGTTGATTATATATCTATCAATGATTAATCAATGCTAAATTATTTTAACACTTTGATATTTTTTAAGATTACAATAGTATATCCAGAAATAAAGAAAAGTTAATTATTATAATTTTAGTAAACTAAACAATTTAAATCAGATGGTACTTTATTATAAACTTCTAAATTTTTGTAGACTATGTTTGATGCAAAAATTTGACGAACCTCAACCAAATAAAATATTCTTAAATTTATTAAATTAACAATATGAATATTGTTAAATTCTAGTTGAAAACAATTAATATTAAATAAACTAATTTCCTAATATTAATTAGTAAATCCCTTATTAAATTATAGCTTAATGGATTTTAAATAAAAATAAAAATTATTATTTGATATGCTTGATTATATAAAAAATAGACTGGAAGTAGTAAAATTATTTTATTGAGCTAAATAATTATCTATTAAACAGTGAATTTTTCCCTTAGTTTCAATTTGCAATGTGGCAATAAATTATGAATCTTGAAAATTATTATTTTCTATTATTGTTTAAAACAAGGTAAAATTGGAAATAAATCCTATTACGGTAGATAGTATAATCAAATTTTGATCCAAAAGTAAATTATTAATGATTATTTCAAGTTAGGTAGTACAATTGAAAATAAAAGATTAATGGAGCTAACTTAATATGACTTTTATTCCATTCACATACATTCTGCTTTCTTCATGATAATTTGCATGAATAGTTATGAATGTAGAATTAT